AATTTTTATGCATGCTGCTATTAATGGCTTTGCTTCTGTCAATTTGTGAAATATTTAATAATTCCGAAATTATTTATTATAAATTAAATAAATAATCTTTCTAAATATTTCATTGTTATTTTAAAACCAAAGCTAGATAGATAAAAAAGCTAGGTAAATAAATAGATATCGTTATTTATTAATGTGTTCCATGTCAGTCAATTTTAAGTATCTTACTCATCATCCATCACATTGAGTAATAGGTCCAAATGTAAACAAGAATCGTAAATGATCCATATTTTTATTTGAATTTATTATATTTGTTAAATAATATATTTTATATGATTATATATGATATGACTTAAAGAATTACAAAAATTCTAATTACAAAGAAATCTAATATATCAATATTGCAACATATATCATAATTAGATCAAAAATTATTTTATAATAATTTTTTTTTATAGTCAAAACAGTCTAAACGCGTTAAGCACTTTAAGATCAGATTCTCTCGCAGCATTGATAACAATATATAAATAATTGATCAACAAAATAAAAGAAATTTGGAACTAAAAAACAATAAAATATATAAAATAAAAATAATAAAAAAATGAATAGTTTAAATTGCAAAAAGGCTAATCTATTAATTAATCTAAATATTAGAATATCTTCAATAATATTAATTACTGATCTTTGTTAACTTGTTATATATAGTTTTCATCGATTACGCATTATACAAATTATGTTACATTAAGTAATTATACAGATACAGTACATAATACGGTATAGTTGCGATAAATAATTCGAGTGTTTATGCCTGCGATCGTCGCGACGGTAATATTGGAATTGATTGTTTAATGACACTATTGCGATAGTTCATAATGAAAGACCGATTCCATTTGCGCGATGTTAACTCTCTTCGCTAATTATAGCCTGTAATTATTACCCTTCATTATTATCATGCTTTTGAATGAAGTCGAGTGGTACTCGATACTTGTACCATTAAATTTATGCGTCGCGGTAGTTACGATTTTGTCGAACAAGCGAAATCATCGACTCTCCGTAGATATCTCTACGCGAATTTGCTCCGCAAAGGTTTTCGCCATGCGAAGCGTGAAGCATCGCGTTTCGCCGATATATCGGGGTTAAGGGGATCGTCTGTAAAATCAATGAAACGCGCACCTCATACTTTTCCATTTTCTTCCATTTTCTTCCTCTTTATATGAAATAAAAAAAAATCTTTTTCCAGAATAAAAAAAAAACGCAAATAACTATGGAAAAATACAAACCTATATGAAAAACAAAGAAAAAATTGTAAATTATAATTTCCTGTTATCACGTATATTATTTCTTCACGCATATAAATGATTTCAAATATATATCCAAACAAAAAGTAGTTCCCCACATTTATTTGAATAATTTATAAGAATATGTAATGAGACCTTTAAATTATGATTTTGAAGCTTACATGAGAAGTAAATGGAAAAGTACGATCTGAATGTACATCATCTAACTTTCATGCAATATACAGAATATAATTCTATATATCAGAATAAGAAATGTTCGTAACGTTTTACTTAATGTACGTTTGATTTGGAATTAAGAATCCGTTTTTGTTGATATAGATCAAATTCGTTCAAATTTCAACCATCGCTTCAACATCATTTTAATATTTTTTTAATTAACAAAATCGACCTGTTTCCGTAGGTAAACCGGCCCCAATCGTGTCTTGGTATCGCAACGACAGATTCGTCACAAATCGGACCACAATGCCAAACAGCGATGTGACACGTAGCGAGATCATTGTACAGAACTTAAGCCGGGACGACGTTCACTCGGTGCTGACCTGCAATGCTACGAACAACAATAGGTCGATTCCGCTGTCTTCATCAGTTCGCGTGGACATGCGTTGTAAGTATTCTATATACATTATATGATACTAATAAAAATTCGCCCTCTTGGCTCACCCAATTATCAATGAATACGCGAGATTCATGCCGCCGGGCACGTTTTATCGACGTTTTTAATTTACGCGATATATGATAATTATAGCGCGCAATTACCCGCGAACAACGATAATAATGACGTATCATTACGAGGCACGATTATGACAAAAAAACTACGCTTTAAAATATAGATGAGAAATTCGACGAATTCGCATCCACGTGAACGCGGATTCCGTGCGAGAATTTGACAGTTTCCAAATGTCTTTCTATTGAATTTAATCTTCTTATGCCGACAATGACATAGATACACGAACTTAGATAGATGAACTCTCGATCCTTTAATAGGATAGAAACTGAGCGTGTGTTCGAAGGACACGTAATCCCGGACACTCGGTGCGATATTGCATTTGCTTTCACTTACTACTAAAGAGGATTCGTCGAAAGCTTCGAACTGTATTATACACCATCGCGCTATTGACAAACCCGGAACCATCGTGAGATGTTTATCGGGATAATAGAAAACCCGATGGCCATTTTTCTAGACCCGTTTGCGAATCGATGACGAGCTGCCGAAAGGAAGGAAGAGAGAGAAATGAGAGAACTCTCATCGATATAGAGACGAGATATTCGGTCGCTGGGTCGGAGTTCGGCATTGAGAGGATATAGTCCATCCAAGCTTTAGTCATAAAATAATGATCTTTCGCTCTTATTCAGTTGTCCGTTCTTTAAAAGATTATACTTGATGGAAGGATATAACAATAATCGCGCATCTTGTATTAAAAGTGAAATCTTTTTTGTTTGCGATTGCGCAATTTAATTCCTCTACGCGCATGACGCAAATCGTCGAAGGTCGATAAATTACAGATAAACGGATAATTATTTTAAATCGAATAACCATTGATTATAAAGTGGATATTAATAAGCTTCGTTAAATTTTATCCTATTTCTTCCATGTAAAATCATTCCGAATTTAATTCCAAGCGAACGAGAGTTCATATCAATTCGGGATGCTCTGTATACTTAGCGAACAAAAGTCAATAGAGCGCAGCAGAATAAATAGCAGAATAAATACCGAATGCTTTTTCGGACCACGAGACTCGCCATAATAATGTTTACAACATGGATATCTAAAGCATATATAGAGCTATGTCAAACATCTAGATCAATATCGTCGGTGTATTGATATAGTTGTTTGACATCCATACCGATGTCAAATATCCACGCTAATACAAGACAATCCCAATACATAGATGTAGAATAACCAATGTGGTTCTACTGTTTATAAGCTGAAGGAAGAAGGTTTATACACACGATCGTAATTGATACATGGTTCGTGACATACGCTCCTTCTTCACATATATTTTTGTCAAATATTGCCGAAAAACAATAAATATATACAGTACGTTAATTAATAATTAATAGTCTCCGAGATCTTATGTGACAGTTATCTATCGAAGGCACGTATGGCAAGCCAATAAATATCGATATCCCATCGCACCGTCTCGTCGGACCCCGTAACTCCTACACCTGGAACGTCGGCACGTAGTGGAGACCAGGACGCGTCGGTGATGGAGATGAGATGATCGCGCGATTTTCGCCACAGTACGGAATCAGGATGGACGATAGAATTTACGGGCGATACGGTCCAGAGAACGTACTCTGGGGGTGTTCTCCGGGGGGGTGCCTTTGCATTCTTTACGAGATCGGGTCCGAACGCCCGTAGCAGCGATGCGTAAATGGCGCGCCAATGGGAAAAAGAGAAAGAGAAGAAGGAGAGGACGTTGGGGACGAGGGTGCGAATTCACCATTAAAGGGTGAATAACGTCCGGATGAGCGTGGTGCGTCTTCCAGCGCGGCGGTGGAATTCGATTATCTCGGACGTGATTTAAAATTTTCCCGATAGCACGACACGGCGACGGGGGCCACCGCTACCGCCGACCCCCGCAAATTCCGACTACATTATTTTCTTTTTCTTACGTCCAGAGATAAAGGCGAACGTCACGTACGGCTTTACTTTCGCTTCGGCTCCTTTGGAAACCCGTCGCCGCGGAGAAAGTAGATTATCGCGAAATCTTCCGTTCGATCGCGTTTATGGATCCGACAAGAGACATTGATGTCGTTTTCGGAACACGAAAGATAAAATGTACAACGAAATAATTTTAACTTATATAATTTAACTTTTAAATTCTTAAAAATACGCGACGCGTTTTGTAAACACTTATTTTATTCGAATTGATAATGCAACGAGAAACTGAGAAATTGTTTGAATAACGTTAAATATTGCGCTATTTTTGGACTATAAAATGTTTCTAGTAAACAGACAAATGTTATTTAAATAATAATATTAACGTTATATGATTGCATATTCGTAATTGTTTCTACATACGTACTTTCGTCGCTTTAAATACATGATTGTTTTGAATATCAATGTTATGCTATTTTTATTGAAAAAGTTATGAATTTTTAAAATTGTTTTTAAAACCGACTAATTTACGATTTGATTGGTCCTCTATATCCAGTAATATTGGAAATATAACTATCACGAATAAACTTTATCTCTGTTTTTATACAATTATTTAATTTAATATAATTATTTTATTATTGTTTTTTTGTGTAATAATTTAGATATGTAACTTGATGCATGCACAGCGCACAAAGCTAAATTAACCGGTGTATAATGAGAGAAATATGATAAAGAATTCCTCTCTCTCAAGGAAAAATGCTGGTTGCAGCAATTAAAAATATTGCTGCCATAAATGTATCATTTATGAGAAAAAATAAAGCTCACATTAAATATACTTCAATTGTAAAGTCGGCGAAAAAGCAGACGCACCAAGCCTTCGTGAATTTCTTATAGATAAAATAAGATATTAGAAGAATCCAACAGAACCTTCATTAAAGAATATACAGAAAAAAGTTCGATTTAAAAGCAATGGAATGAGGACAATGGAATATTTCTGGCTTCGATTCGAACCGGCTAATTCGAATGTAATAAAGGAAAACTTTTGCGCTACTCATTCGTTCGTAATTAAATATGCACATACACGATATTTTTATTAGTTAATTGATTTTTTTACTAGCTTCCAGGAGAGAAAGATATACGCGTTGTATATTTTAAATAATAAGATTTAAAAATCTCTGTATTTTTAAAAGATATGTGTATGTTTAAATATGTTTTGCATGTACCTTCAATTTTTAAAGATAATGTAACGATGTTTTAAATGAAAGTGTCGGTATTATAAAACTTTTACGTACTTTTCAGAATATTGCGATATAAATATTAATTGCGTAAATAATTACAGTTTTTATTCACAGCACTTCTTGATATCACAGCATAAAATTCAGAAAAATAATTACCATGAAATAAAGAAATACAGAAAAATCGACTATCCGTATTTTTTCAATGCGCAAGCGAAAGAAAGAGAGTTTAAACAAAAGAAATAAATATATATGAAAAAAATGTTGTTTTACACAATAAAACAATGAAACCGTCATAATATTTTTTGGATTTAGTGATTACTTTTGACAAAGATCGTAGGTGAAAGCACGGTGTAAAAGTCATTTGAAATAAAATCGGTTAAACATGCGATGATACGTAATAGCAAATTATTCGAGATAACGCGGAATTATCGGTTCGGCGATTGGCAAAAAAGACACGAAGATTAGATCCCATTAGCATACGCGAATTGGATCGGCAAAGCCGTCGTTCTCAGTTTAATCGATTTTTATCAGCTATTGTTATACGCGATGCCCGCCTTCGAGAACGATTCGAGAACGAGGTAACACGAAACGTTTGCCGCGATCTCAAACTGATTTGAATTTCCTCTTTTCTCGTTTAATGATTTATTTAACAGAAAGTCTGGCTTTTATAGCGAAAAATATTTTTAAAAACACATTCTTTGCTTTAGAACAAAAAGTAAGGAATGAATTCAAAATTGAGATCTTGGAAACTGAAAAGACAAAAGTATTTCTTTTATTTCTGATAAAATTTTGTATTCTTTTTCATTTATCAGATACAGATACATTTTTAAAGAAACGAGTTTCAGTGTTGATTTAATTTAAGATTGAATGTCTATAAAGAATGATATAGTTGTCTACATACATCTCAATTTCTCTTTATTTTTTTTTTATTTATAGAAAGTTTGATTGATTAGAGTATATTTTTTCCGACGAAATGTTAGATATCTATTATAAATATTGATTCATCTATAACTGTAACAATACCTCAAAATAGTCGAGTATTAAAAATAACCCAAGTCTAACAATTTCTTTTTATTTTTAATAAAAAATTATTTTGCTGAATTAAGGCGGAATATGCAATAAGGGATGACGCAGTTAACTATATATTTTCTTGATATTTTTGCATTGCCTTTTATTTATGTATAAAACGTTTGATCGATTAGAGTATATTTTTAAGATAAAAATATAAATATCCGTTATTTTTTATACGTATTGATTCATGCATCACTAACAATATCTCAAAATGGTTGAGTATCACGAACGACACTTTCCTCGGGAATGGTTAAGGAGAATCGAGGAAAAAGCGTTCTCGAGGCCGGATACGTGACGTTGACTCCTTTGCAAGGTTCCTTGCACAGGGTCTTTGACGATGGCAACTTTCGCGCTTGATACGCGACGCTCGGTAACACGGATTTCCCTGATAATAAATCTCCTTTTCACATAAAAGCGCAATCCCTTTCAATATGCCGAGGGCAGCGCGGAGAGCGTTAGCATCCCGGGCCATCTTTTTCGGCTGATCTTGGCAAATGTTCGCGCGCTCTATATGCCGAACGCGACGTTATTCATTTCGCTGACAGAATACAGAAGTCATTTGTCGACTCGCTAAGCGCTAGACGGACTCGACAATACCTATTACAGACGTATTCCCGTGAATACCGAACTGTCTGTCTTCCTCTTGTGCACAGGCTATTACTATAGTCACTCAGATATCAGAAGGACCCGACG